AGTAGTATCAACCTTCCCCATGTATTCAATGAACTCATAGGATTAATACTGAACCATTGTCAGATGATTTAATTATTTAAATAATTTTGCATGCAAAAATATCAACTGCTTAGTGATGGGGAGAGAAATTGAACAAAGATGAATGCAGGTTTGCTCTCATATTGAAATATTTTAACCAGGTTGAGACATTGAATTAAAAAAGGCAACCAGATAAGCACAAGTTACATCACCAAGACTCCCATTAGTGTAGTACAAAGAAGTGAACAACTCCATTGGCAGGCAAGGATGATCAACTCTGTAAGTTGCATGGTGACATCAAGTGAACAGCCAGTCTCCAGAACTATTTGCAGTGTGGAACTGATCCTATGTAGGGTTTTATACAAGCGTTCAAATCCTGATAGTGCAGGGTTTGAAACTACAATAAAATAGGATTAAAGGGATGCTTTGTTTATTCATTAGACCAATCCCTTTGAATCTGACTGTAAGCCCTTTGGAAATACAGGAAGAATGCATGGTTCCACAAATAACTGTTTATTTTCTGTGAAACCACAAGCACCATGGTGAAAAAGATGAGCATCTGGGTTCAGTTGCCTACATTTTTCTCCTGTTTTTGGGACAGTCACTGAGCTCCTCTTTTGCCTCAGGCACTGTCTGGAAAGTGGCTGGCTCTGTAAATAGCAGACAAACGGATAGATATAACCAGACAATTATACCTCCCCCTTCAAAATACAGAGAGGCATCCCTCAATACAAAGCAGTCATGCCCATCTGAATATTTCTATAATGGATCAATCTCACTTTCTATCTCTTGAGTGAAGACTTTGCATGTGAAAAAGCATTAACCAGGCTATCATTGTGCCTGGAAATAAGCAGTAGATTCAGGATCTATTTGCTCCACCAATAGATTACCTACCTTTACTTGGCCATACACTGATTAATGTATTGCTTTCCAGCTATTTTAACTGAAGTTGTTTGTCCACCTGGCAAAGAACCTAGAAGATACAGAAAAACGTCGACTTCTCCACACACTTCATCATTATTAATTTTTTTAATTTCATTTTATTTGTTTATATTTGGCAAGGGCTCCTTTCCCCAGGGGTCAAATCATTGCCACAGAATGATGATAATGGTTTAGTTGAATCAAGGCCAATAACGGGGAAAAACAAGCTGTTTCATAAGCAAAAAAAATTCAAAGATAATAAATCCCCAAATCTCTTTACTTAATTTTGCATTCTGCAGGACCTTCATGTAAGTCCAATACTAATGTACTTCACGATCACCCTAATATCAATAAGGAAACTCCAGCATGGCTTTATCAAAAATAAGACATGTGGCACCAACTGATCTTGGTGATCAGTTTAGTCATAATGGGGATGGTGTGTACATGGTCTCCCTTGACTTCAGGAAAGCATTCAGCAGAGAATCTCATGAATTTTTAGTGGATTAGGCTATTCTATCAGCCGGAGAGGGACTTACTTGAAAGACTGTACCCAACCAATCTAATTGGCTAATTGTTTAGCTGGAAATAAGTATTGAGTGGTGTAACAAATGCTGCATTTCAGGATCTGTGCTGTTCAACCTATTTGTACATGACTTGGACAAGGGGTAGCAAAGTTTTATCAGGTTTCAGATGACATAAACATGAAGGGGCAGCAAATACTTCACCTTCAGGAGGATTTTCAGAAGATGAAATGAGTAGAAACTAACACTGTGAATGTCAACATGGACAAATGCAAAGTTTGGCTAGGGCAAATCAAAGGTATGAATATAAGAACTGGGAAGAAGACCATACTGGGCCGTAATATATGCAAAATGGATCTGGAGGGATCTTGCTAACATGGCCAACAATGTGATACAGCTGCAAAATGAAAAAGAAAAGAAAAAAAGCAAATGCAATCTTAGATTGTAGTATCAAAAGTAACATGACAACATCAATAGAATTGCTCCCATCTATTCAGTATTGGTCACACTGCATTTATAATATTGTGTTCCGTTCTGAGCACTCCATATTAAGGAGAATATTGACAACCTAAAGCACATCCAAAGGAGAGAAACTAAGGTCTGGAAGGAAAAACATACAAGGAACAGTTGAAAGTGCATGTTTATCCTGGAGAAGAGGAGTGACAGATGACTGCCATACTGAACAGCTGTCACACAGAAGACAGGGAAGGATTGTTGTTCCAGGATGCAAAATGAAAAATGGGGGATTTATATAAGTAGATTTGAATAAATATCCTAATCTTAAAAGCTGTTCAATAATGGAACAGACTGCCCCTCTTTGCTAGTGCTTAAACAGAAGTTGGATGGCCATAAAGTAGCAGACTGCTGCGTTGGGCAGTTGGATGAAATGATCTCCAAGTTCCTTTTCAAGCATAAGCACTAGGATTCTAAGCAGCTCCTGAAAAAGATATGTATTTTTTAAAAAAGAAATGGCTTCTTTGTATTAATCAAAACAGATGAAGATTCGGATCACTTGAGACAGTAAAGCCAAATTTACTACTTTGTGATCCATGATACAATTTGTAAAGTGAAAAGATAAGCCATATTAAGGAATATAAATCATAGAGTGTTTATAGTCCCAAGCAGATTTCAAAGTCTGGAGAGGTGAACCTCTAAACCATTATGGTATCCTTCATGTGCAGCAACATTTAGCTGTCCTTTAAGACTTATTTGAGTACCATTTTCCAGAAATAAACAATTTACATTAATTCTTTTTTGTTTCTTGTACAAGAAGTGACAAATGAAGTCCAAAATTTCAAAAAAAATAAAAGTCTAACCAAACCTCTAATATTCAACACTTGCATTTTTTTTTCTTTTGAAAAAAGATTAACTCAGACTAAATTCTATCACAGTCATGCAACAGCCCACAGGTCTTTATGGATCCAGAATTATCTCAGGACTCCACAGATTTTTTTTAGTTTGTTTTATTTTATTGTCTCCTCCTCCTCTTCCTCCTCTTTAATTAAAGAAATAATTAAAAATAAAAATTACAAAGTAATTTGAGATGTATATTCAAAGGATTGTTCTACTGGTGAGGAATGTTAATGTGTTTTTTTTCCCATTTGGTATTTTCCACTGTTTAGTGTAAAAAGCCACATTTGATATTGTTTAAACTCCTCCAACTTAATTGTACAGTTGCCCCACTGAGGCGTAAAAATTAGATTGTAACATTTTGTGTGTATTTACACACATACACACGCATACACATACACACACAGAGAGAGATATCACACCTCTCTCTTCCACTTATTTAGGTAGGATCAGGCTTGGTATGTTTTACAATACCTTCTCTTTCAATGCTAGGTCAGCTGAGAGAACAGCTTAATTTATTGGTACTTAATAGGCAAATAGGTGAAGGCTGACAATTGAGTGGATTTGGTCACCTGAGTTGAATTAGGGCAGTGACTTCAACACACTGGTAAATTTAAAACAATAGTAGAAAGCTTTACATGCAGAATGGAACTGAATGTTTTCATGCAAAGAGTGGAATATTTGATGGAATGATGAAGAAATAAGTGACAGAAGGGAAGGAAAAAGGAAACAGAATTCAGGAAGAATCCCAACGAAAGCACCGTCATCCCTTTGGGCTGTTAAACGAATGGTCATACATCATTTTGACTACCTGTATAAAGGCTTTGCTTTTAACTGAGGACACCTTCCAAATGAACTGTGCCAAGACAAGACAAAGGAACACACATTCCATTCCAAAACATTACAAGATACCTTGGAAATCTCCATGGTAGCAATAAAGGAAGCCTTGCTTTTAAATCGTGTGGGAAATGTCTGATTCAGCCTTAGAGAGCAAGCAAGTAACCAAGACTCTCTGTTCAGTTTTTAACAGGCTTCCCATTATTTTCCAATGTTGGCATCTGCTTCCCCTGGTGATTGTTTGCTAACCAACAACTCCAGAATCAGGTAATGCTCAGAATCAGGATAGAAAGGAATTACAATTTTTGGGTTGGCAGAAATAGGAGAAAATAGAAAGTAGGTGTCCAATTAGGACAGGTGAGGAAGGGACAGTGACCTTTCTGGTACTTTTCTGCTAACATAGGCACTAACATTAAATGTGAGCAGACAATCCTATGCTCTTCCTATGGATATTATTATTTATCCCCCACCTAAAGAAACAGGGCGGCAAGGCAACCAAAGCAAGTTTTAAATAAACTGAGAGTAAGAATATTGTGTTGGTCATAGATCATTTAAAGCAAGGGTCTTCAAACTTGGCAAGTTTAAGATTTGTGGACCTCAACTCCCAGAATTCCTGAGCTAATATGACTGAAGGAGGAATTCTGGGATTGAAGTCCACAAATCTTAAACTTGCCAAGCTTGAAGACCCCTGATTTAAAGTTTCTAACAAGAAGTCAAGCATCCAAACACCTTCCGGAGAGATCATAACCAATCGCTGATATCAGCCTATAAAAAAGATCCTGGTTATACTTCCATGCAATTAAAGAGCCATGTTTTCTCTTTCCTTCTCATGGGCTGATCTATCAATCCAGTTGCTGTCATGTCTGTTTCTCACAGAATATTTGGTTGTGCACAAAGAACACTTGGTTGCAGGCTCAGCTTTGGTGGCTTAGCCATTATTTCTTGCTTTAAAGCATGATTGTCCAACCTTTTGGCTAGCCTGGGCCACACTGAGTGAAGTGGAATTGTCTTAGACTGCATATTAAATATATAATAGTTAGTTTATATGTGTGAAAAGCTGGCACTGTATAGAATGCCTAGGAAATGTATAGAATGTGTGACATTTCTCTTTCCAGTATATTTATTTTCTTTTGTTATAAAATAGAAAACAGGAAAACAAACAAAACATATGAGAAAAAGAATGGGTGACATTTCTAAGCAAAGTATTTGAAATTTGGCACGTATGTTCCTCTTGGCTTCTAGGTGCTCACTAAGAAAGGATTTTTTGAAGTGACCATCAGAGCATTAGTGTTTTGTATATTATTATTAAAACACCCTGATGCTAAGGAGTTCAGAATGACAGGAACTATTTAGGAAAAACATGGAAAGAGAGACATGAAAAGGGTTAGGGTTAGCTTAGCCTTAGGTTTAGGCTAACTGTCACCCTAACTCTATCGCTTTATTGGAAAGACATATATGAAAATAATAGAAGAAATGAAAAAAATAAAGTTTTTTCGTACTGAAAAAAAAAAACCAGACAAAAAGTCCAGCATTGACCTACATGTTGCAACAAGGAAGGCTAGAATGGGATTTTAGCAGGAATAGTTTATAATTTTCTGGTTTGCCTTTTTGCACTGCATAGAATGCCTAGGAAATGTGAGACATGTTAAATGTTTCATACTATAAGATTTCCTAGGCATTCTATAAAATGCTGAATTTCACACATTGACGATAACATATATAAGCCACATAATAACGTGGAAGGTTTATGATCTTGTGGAATGCATGTAGACCAAAGGCCACAGGTTGGACAAGCCTGCTTTAAACTTTAAGCCTGGTTTTGTTTTTGGAATTAGCCTGCTGAAGATATAAGACTGTTATATTCAGTATTTGGAAGAGTTATATGTCTATGAGCATGCACAATCTCTCTCTCACATACACACACACGCTTAACATAAAAACAATGCTGGAATCGACATGCCATATTCATCTGGGCTAAACTGCAACTGGATGTGGGAACACACTGTCAATTTGTTTTAATTTTTTTTTTTTTGAATAAAGACTGCCCTTCTGATAATCTGACCAGGCTTTAAAATGTTGCCAGTGGGGAATGCCAGTGGAATGAGGTGGAGCAATGCAATTTCAAAAGCAAAAGTAGCTTTTCTCTAAACTGCCTGCATGATCCTGCTTAACCTGAACATTCTCCTTTGCAATACTGAACTATTAAGACTAGATAGGTCCTTTCTCTCTGGCTATATGACACTTGTACATGGAGAGCTTCTTTGAAAATATCTTTGATCTCTGAATGGAAAGCTTACACATGGAGAAGTGTGTGTGTGTGTGTGTGTGTGTGTGTGTGTGTGTACAATGAAAACTGAGTAGGGACAATTTTGAGAGAGTTGTTAAACTCTGCTTATAAAAGCCGATTCTGACTTCTATAAAAATCCAATGCAAAGTGTATTGGGAAGTTGCATTGCTTCTTATAGATGAGAAAAATCTTCCTTTAGGCGAGCTTGTTTTCATATGTGCCTATCTCTCTTTTTTTATTTTAGGCTTTTTATTTGTCTTCCTGTTCCTAAGTCTCCAGCACACTCTTAAGCAGCATTCAAAATGAGAGCATTTATTTGGCCTGTGCTCAATAACATTTTAAAATGGCACAGGATGAACTGTAGAAAGAATAAAGGAGGCCTGGGACTGCTTCTCTAGGTTCTACTCACCCTCATTTCTCTCCCACACCAATCATTTGTTGGGGGGGGAAAATCTTGCAAAGATTTCTTGCAGATTTGCAACCTCCCTCCCCTCCATATCCTTTCAGTCCCCTAACAGGACAGCATTAGCTTGTGAAAATTGTGCAAATTTAGCAGTTAACACTAGAGGCAGTAGAGGCCAGGGAGAAAGAAAGGAGGAGTAGATTGAAGAGTTGAGTTGTCCAGTCAAGGCGGGAATCGAAGCAAATACAGAAGGAAAAAAAATGATAAGACTGCCCCACCCGCCTGCTATAAGAAAAACGTAATGTAAAAACATTGCCCTAGAAGTTAGTGCATGCCCCAACCTTCCTTTGCCAGATTTGGGGCAGGCCTTGGTGGGGAAGGGACAGTAGCAGTTCAGCTGGAATTTCTTCCCCCGGGCTCTTCTCACACATCTCTTGGGTCTCTCAGGTTCTTTGCCACGTCAGTCGCTCCTTTCAAAAAGGTCCTTAAATTGTTTCAATTTGCTTTGATAACAATGATTTAAAGGATTGTTTGATTTTCTTCTGTTCAATCGGTGCAAAAGGTTCAAAGACGCAGCAGACTCTGTGCACTGTTTTGTGCTGAGCCCCAATAGATCTTGTGTGTTTTCTTGTTGCTGCAACTTGCTTGCCCCTTTCTCTTTTTGCCTCTGCTGCTAGGAAGTCTGCAACAACAATTCGGCCTTTTCAGCTACTTAGGGCCATTGTGTCAATTGCCTGCTCCAACTTACTTCGCAGCCGTTGTCTTCGGGCCTGTTCATCCTTCTCTAAAGCAGCTAAAATCTGATAAAGGAAAGAGCAGAAAGGAAAAGATTACTACTCTTAATAAAAAAAAAATCCTCTACAATCTGAAATACTTTCCACAAGGAGCTCACAAACAGGAAAGCCAGAAGGAATCTTCTTTGAACCATCAAAAGGCCAAACAGGACAACATTAAGGAGACAACGGAACACAGTGAAAAAAATATGATGTGTCTGGTTTCCCAAACATCAAAGATAGGAAGAGATTAGGGGAAAATACTGGAGCATAAGCTCGAATTTGAAGTTAATAACAATAACTGGGTTGGAAGGGACCATAAATATCTTCTAACCCAACCCCCTGCTCACGTGAGAGACCGTATACCATTTCAGACAAATGATTGTCCAATTTCTTCTTAAAAATCTCCAGTGTTGGAACACCCAGTTTCTAGAGGCAAGTCATTCTACTGATTAATTGTTCTAACTGTTAAGACATTTCTCCTTAGTTCTAGGTTGGTTCCCTTCCTGGTTAGTTTCTATTCATTGATTCTTGCCTTGCCTTCTGGTGCCTCTTCTTCGTGGCATATATCTTAGATATTGGAACGCTGCTATCATGTCACCCCAGTATTTCTTTTCATTGAACTAGAAATGGCCAATTCCTGCAACCGTTCTTCATGTTTTAGCCTCCAGCCCCCCAATTGTCTTTGTTGCCTTCAAATGAATGGTTTGGGTTTACTTGCCAGATCACTAGAAAACATGATAACTAAGAGTAGGAGACATGCTTAACTTGGTTTGTAGTCAGCTTTCCTCTAAAACTGTTAGTATCTTCTCTCTGCAGATTTCCTCTCATCAATTTGGGTTTCAAAATGTAGAGGTGAAAAACAATTTAAGCCATTTATTATGAAAGGCAGGAATGTATAAGCATTTTCTTTCTGTTTATTGGAATGACTATCCTTCTTCATCCCAATCAATAAAAAAATAGTTTCTGAACATGCGTTGTGCAGAAACCATTGTTATTAAACCAAAGCAGCCAAACGGGGTAGATTTAATCCACCTGAATGTTTTGCCACATTGAGGTAGAATAGCCAAGCATTACGTTGACCTGAATCATAACTCACCCACACAGGTCCAGAAAAATAATATGTTTTCTTAATGTCTAAATTAGTCCTGATGTTGAAAATATATGAGAAAATGGTTCTTCATGGACATAAAACCTGATAATTATACAAAACAAACAATGGGATAAATTCCAGGAAAATCATGGACACCTCTGAAACTGATAAAGAAACGGTTTCTTTAGCAGTTAAATATTTTGAACAGAATATTCAAAGGCCTTCCATGGAACCCTTTTAAGTCACTCTTCTGCAGACTCACTTTGTTTTTAAATTCATTACTATCCACAATGAGACATTTCTCAGATAGTCAACATTTTCAAATGGTTCTGTTTAGGTCATCCTGAGCTCATTCAATCTAAAGGAGATTATGAGCCTTATAGTCTCTGTTAAGGAGTGAAACTTATATAAGCAGTGAGTGCGTATCTTTGGTTGTTGGGCAAGGCAAGAAGAAATGCTGAAGAATCTAAATGCATTGATCCAATGTAGATTTCATATTCAATTGCAGTCAGATTTGCCTCAATTGATGAAAGAACCTATTGCTATTCACACTATATTTTAGAATACCAGAAAATGGCAATTCTGGAATTTTTCCACCAAAATTTCATTCCACTAAATAGGCTTATACTTCAGTGCCATTCAGAAAACAAGTCAAGTAATGGAATTTAGCATACTTAAGGCTTTTATTGAAGGCACTAGAAAAAAGGACATAATTATGGAATACAGTCAAATTCATATAATAAACATCTTTCCTACTCAAAGAGCTAAAAATGCATCCTACATTTTAGTTCTGTTCTCAGAATCAGATGAAAACCTTTAGATCACCATTTGTACATATTCTTGGAAATCCATTCTTTAATCAACCATATTAATAAACTGAAGGGTGGGGTGTTGAGAGTAGGCCTAGTGACAGTTGAGTGAGAAGGGAAATTTTGGCAGGAAAGGATTGAGAAAGTGGAGGGATAAAAAAGAAATGCTCCCCAACCCCACCTCCCTTTCAATTGCACTGCCAGATTTTTTTTTGTTTAAAAAGGGATGATTAAAATGCAATCTCATCAGAAATCCCATTATAGTGGTTACATTTGTTGTGAGTGCAAGCTGTATTTTTTTTCCAATTAAATGTCGAGGCATCCATCAAAAAGAACTCAATTAACCATTTCATTGGCTGCATAATTGGAAACAAACTCTTGTATGATTAATAGGCTGACTATTCGAAAGCAGGAAAGGCCCATCACAAATCCTACAAGTAATATGGAAATAAGCTCCCTGTGATTAAAAGCAGCTGTGACACCTTTGGGCTTCCCATATTGAACATGCAGAAATGATGGGGAGCACACACAGCACTGTTGCCCAGGGCTTTGGGGAAGGCTGCAATGTCGCAAATAAAGGAAGGCACAAAAGTTACATGCCACAGAGCTGGTACATCCAGGTGGAATCATCAGATCAAGAAAGAAGTTAGCCAGTCCAACATCATGCCCTGTGGGAAGCTATTCTAAGGCTGTTATCCTATAGGAAAAGATTTCTTGTATCTAGTTCCAAACGTTTTCTCAATATGAAAGGTATTTAGCTTCCTGGCACAAAAACGGTCTGGCTGTAAATCCATATAGTTAACAAACCAGGCCAGAGTTTGACTGCCCCAATGCCTCATTCCTCACCTGAAGCATTGTTCCCAAGCACCTCTAGGTGGTGCTAAAATACCAAACGTCAACCAAAGCAACCAATTAGGGGGGCTGGATGTCAAATCTTAGGATCTTAAAGGTGTTGGAGGCCTGAATAGAATGAGAGTCTCCTCCAAATCTCCTTTACTCCTGATTCAAATGGAGACAATCACTAAAGTTTGCGAGTGAGTTTGGAAAGATTTTATAACCAGCTTTAAGGCCTGGTTGTTTTTCAGTGGCACTTCTGGGCACAACAGGGCAAAACAGAAGACAGCAGGGGAGACAGAGGAGAAAAAAGAGAGATACTTGTCTGTCACCTGCTCTAAAGACCGCCATGATTAGGAAGACGCAAAAACCCAAATGAAAATTAATTATGATTTTCATTCAGTGCCAATGACAGCACATTATAGTACCGAGCAACAGGAAAAATTATTCCCTCCCATTTTGCATCAAAGAGGGTGCAATCGGGCTGCATGTAATTGTGTTTAATGAATGAAAACAAACAAAGGGAACAGCTGCTATTTATTAATCCCATTAAAAATCATAAAAGAAGCTCCTGAGAGCTGCAAACACACAGGCAGTACTTTTAGAGCAGACTATAGAGGCACATTCAACAGATGCCAGACAGTGGTTAACCAAAAAGACAAGGATTGGCAACTTCTTTTGCCTGCAGCTCATTAAGGCTGCACTTTCTAACCACGTAGCACTTGCCCTGCTAGCTATTGATTTCTGCTTTTAAGGCCTCGCTGATTTGTAAGACTAATGAAAGGGAATGTTGGAAGCTGGGAGACTAGCCTCAGGGCAGCAGCAGCTGCTGTGAAAAGGGTTGGAGGAACTGTTCTGTGAAGGTGCTGCCACCGCCTCTAGCTCCAGTTTTTGTGATTGCCCTTGATCTTATCCAGGTGGCAGGCAGGGTGCTGAAAGGCTGCAACTGTGCTGGCTGCTAGGTTCCTACTGATGACCCCTGTGACCTTCTATACAGTGCTTCACCCTTAAGGCAGGTCGGGGTTACACTTGGGTCAATTCATACAAAAGGTTTTCCTTGGCACGGCTGGTGCACACCTATGTTTCCCACACCTGGCTGGGACCCACTAAACCTTGCCCAGCTTAATCAAGGTACGATTAACAGGAAAGGTTACACGGAGTTTTATTTGTAACGGAGACTAATATTTATCTTTCTGGATTCCATTCAAAAGAATGATACTGCATAAAAACGTCATCAAAAAAGAACTGGTGTTCTTTCTGCACCAATTCAGAAAGCTCAAACTGCCCAAGGAGCTGCTAATACAGTTCTATAGAGGAATTATTAAGCCTATCATCTGCACCTCTGTAACTGTCTGGTTTGGTTCTGCAACCCAACAGGACAGACACAGACTTCAGAGAGTAATTAGGACTGCAGAAAAAACAAGTACTACCCACCTGCCTTCAATCGAGGACCTGTATACTGCACGAGTCAAAAAGCGGGCTGTGAAAATATTTACAGACCCCTCACATCCCAGACATAAACTGTTTCAACTCCTTCCCTCAAAACAATGCTATAGAGCACTGCACAACAGAACAACTAGACAGAAGGACAGGTTTTTCCCAAATGCCATCATTCTGCTAAACAACTAATTCCCTCAACACTGTCCAACTATTTATAAAGTCTGCACTACTATTACTGTTAATCTTCTCATCACTCCTTATCACCCATCCTCTCCCACTTGTGACTATATGACTGTAACTTTGTCGCTTGTATCCTTAAGATTTATATGGACTGTTTCCTAGTATGATTTGATTGCTTATTGTACCCTATGACTATCATTAAGTGTTGTACCTTATTCTTGACTCTTGACAAATGTATCTTTTCTTTTAGGTATACTGAGAGCATTTGCACCAAAACAAATTCCTTGTGTGTCCAACCACACTTGGCCAATAAAGAATTCTATTCTATTCTATTCTATTCTATTCTATTCTATTCTATTCTATTCTATTCTATTCTATTCTATTCTATTCTATTCTATTC